TAGGGAAAGCATTTTCCAGTAATCCTTCCACCTCAAGCTGTGATCTTGTCAGATTTTATAAGCAAAACAGCCAGGTCTGGTCAGAGCTTGGATGGGAAACCTCCAAGGAAAACTAAAGTGCTCCAGGAAGCGGTGTGGGTAATTTAGCTCCCGGCATTCTCGCCTCCGTCTGAATAAATATTGAACCAACCTCTAACCATGCTGTTGCAGTAAGAAACATTGTGCTGCTGGTGGAAGATGCAAATCCAAAGTTGTCAGCAAACAAAACAGCCAGGTCTGGTCAGAGCTTGGATGGGAAACCTCCAAGGAAAACTAAAGTGCTCCAGGAAGCGGTGTGGGTAATTTAGCTCCCGGCATTCTCGCCTCCGTCTGAATAAATATTGAACCAACCTCTAACCATGCTGTTGCAGTAAGAAACATTGTGCTGCTGGTGGAAGATGCAAATCCAAAGTTGTCAGCAAATAGGGTCACTAGAGGGCTCAAGATGCTGTTCGCAAATGTAAGGTTGCTCATTTTGCGCTCTTGAGCAATATTCACGAACAACGATGTTACATCTACTTAAAAAATCTTTCACTGGTTAAATAAAACAGCATACTGAACTCTGTTATTTGCTGTGTTTCCCATCAAAACTGTGCATTTTTTTTAGCAGAAAATTAAAAGTGGATTTTTTTGACCAAACTTTAAAAATTCATATTTATTTTATTTTGGGTTTTTTATTATTTTTTACAAAAAGTTCTTGAAAAGTATCACGTTCAAAGAAAATACAGCGGCTGATCAAAACTGGAAATGAAAAACAGAAAAACAGAACGCCCCAAGCCTGAAAACTTTTGGAATAAAACGACTTGAAAATCAGGACTACATCTCCCAGCACACGAGGAGGGGGAACCCTCCGGATGTGTGGCAGTGGCTCAGCACAAAGGAGAATGGGAAACACCATGGGAGATGTTCACCAGCCAAGAAATCTGCAATTCCTGTGACTCACAGCATTTCCAAACAGAAACGTTCAGCCTCTTTTCCTGCCAGAAATCGACATCTTTTTCAGGCAAAACCCCCGAGTTTTCTCCCCGGCTGCACTATTGAGTATGGTTCCCATTTTTAAAAGGGAGCAGCCTTCCACCCACAGGATTTTTTGCATTTTGCAGGTGGATTTTGTGCAGCTGAAGAAGAATCAGAGAAACCACATCTGATAGGGAATTTTTCCATCTCCCTGAGGAATCACCTCCTGCGAGCAGCCGGGGGTTAGCACTCCTTCCGGTGTCCGGCACCTCGAAGGCTGCAAGCAGTGTGAGCAGTGTGAACGGCAGGGTTTAATGACATAAATGGAATATGAAAGGGATGTTTTATAGAATAGATGCAAATCCACAGCTGCTTTATTGCAGATGAAGTATAACTGATGATGTCTACAGGCAGCACTCGCTGGCCTAGATCTACAACTACCTAGAAGGAGGTTGTAGTGAGGTGGGTGTCAGTCTCTTCTCCCAAGTACCAAACAATAGGACGAGGGGAAATGGCCTCAAGTTGCGCCAGGGGAGGTTTAGATTGGATGTAAGGAAAAATGTCTTTACTGAAAGAGTGGTTAAACATTGGAACAGGCTGCCCAGGGAAGTGGTTGAGTCCCAGTCCCTGGAGGTACTTAAAAGACGTGTAGATGTGGTGCTTAGGGACATGGTTTAGTGGTGGCCTTGGCAGTGCTAGGTTAACGGCTGGACTTGGTGACCTTAAAGGTCTTTTCCAACCTAAATGATTCTATGACTCTAGTCTGTGATTTAATGATGAGGAATGGGAAGAAAGCATCAGGACACACACAGCTTAAAACTGAGCTTCACTCACTTGTTGTATTAAAAGAATAACAACTTAGGACTAGATGGAGTGACCTTCACATATCCCAAGGTCAAAATTTAATGAGCTGTTTCCAAAACCCACCCGTAACAGAGATACTTTTCTTAGACTTGCTGTGTCACATGGAGCTGTTGTGGTTTAACCCGGCAGGCAGCTGAACACCGCACAGCCGTTCCCTCACTGCCCCCCGCCCAGTGGGATGGGGGAGAGAATCAGGAAAAAAAAAAAAGTAAAATTCATGGGTTGAGGTAAAGACAGTTTAATAGGACAGAAAAGGAAGGGAAAATAATAATAATAATAATAATAATAATAATGATAAAAGAATATACAAAATAAGTGATAGTGATGCACAACGCAATTGCTCACCACCTGCCGACCGATGCCCAGCCGGTCCCCGAGCAGCGGTCACCGCCCCCCGGCCAACTCCCCCCAGTCCATATACTGAGCATGACGTCACATGGTATGGAATGTCCCTTTGGCCAGTTGGGGTCAGCTGTCCTGGCTGTGCCCCCTCCCAGCTTCTCGCTGGCAGGGCATGGGAAGCTGAAAAGTCCTTGACTAGTGTAAGCACTGCTCAGCAACAACTAAAACATCGGTGTGTTATCAACATTATTCTCCTACTAAATCCAAAACACAGCACTGTGCCAGCTACTGGGAAGAAAACAAACTCTATCCCATCCAAAACCAGGGCAGGAGCTCATCAGTAACTGGCAGCAGACAGGCTCGAATTCCAGCCTTGGCATTCACTGCCTAGCTTTGGGAAAACCCCTTTGTCTCTCCGTGTCCTTGTCTGTCGTACCTCAACTACGCCACCTTCACAAGGGACTCCATCTTCACACGGCTGCTGCGGAGCCAGATGCCATGGTTTGCTAAAGCTCCTTGAAGTCTCCAGACCAAAGGAGTGACAAAAGAGTCAGCTAGATTTCTGTGTTGAAGATTATTTTATTGCAAACGTACACATTACACTACTGATAATGCACAGAAATTTAAAAAGCTATCGTTTGCTAAAATTTCATGATTACAAAACTTCACAAAATTTGTTACAACTAAAAAACCCACCTTCAGGAGTATATAAATAGAATTTTGAGCATAAATAACAGTAACAAAATAAACAGATGTATGTATTCAATAAATTAATTATAAATAATGCATTGGCAATGAAGTGCTAGGTCAGAAGAACACCAGTATTTCCAGTAGAGCTTTTTTTGTATAGAAATCTCTATTGTAAATGAACCTTTGGAAACGAATAGAATCCCTGAACCCTTTTCTCACATTGCTTTTTTTTTGTTTTTCTTTGGTTTCACCTTGGTTATTCCTTCGTCAAATTGTTACAATGGGAGAACAGAACTGAAGACATCAGACATCCGCGTTTTGGCCACGAGGTACTCATAATCCTTTCCTGCAAGAAGAACGGCGTGGCTGACCCAGTTCTGCGGCATTTAAGTCACTAAACTGTCTCTCCACTGATTCCCACGGGTGCAGAATCAAGCCTGGAAGGGACTTGAAAGACTTGCTGATGGTTAAAGGTTAAACACGAAAACCTGTTTTGCAATTGATTTGACCTATACATCATCCATTTTCAGTCTTTCTCTCGTTTGCTAATGACATGCATGCTTATATACAACAGAACCTTAATTTAAACACTAATTTGAACTGCTCATTCCCTACCTGATGAACATAAATGCTAGTTCTGTGCACTCTTCCAACCACACACTGAATTCTCACCAATGTTAATGAGAACTTTCTGCTGGATGATGCTGATCCCACAGTGAACATAAATTAGCCTTTAAAAGAAATCAAAGATCCAGTTTTCCCTTTAGCAATAAGGGAAGGAAGAAATTTTTCCCTTTCTTCCGTTATTTCCTAAGGGAAGAAAAAGCACAATATACAAGCAGAATTGTTTTTTCAGTGGTATGCTTTCAATAGAAAGTTTTCCCAGAATGTTGTCAGCAGCTTTTCAAGAAACAGCATTAACTCTAGTTCACATAACCACATTTGCTACGTTTTCCTTAATCATGTGGTGTTCCAAATGTTTGTCTTTAAGGCCTCTGAAGCTAAGAGATCATTAACCTCCCTGTGACTGGAAAAAAGGTTTTCTGCATTTGCTCCTATGAGCAGAAATAACAGGTGAACATACGTGGTAATGAAGTTGATGTAGAAAAATTATAATTATTTTATCATCACCACGGTAATGGAGGAACTCTGATGAAGCTGTTAAGCTTTTCTTATTTAATTCTTTTCCAAATAAA